GTATTGGATAATAGAGTGTAAGTCAGTTGGGTAATGGGCTTAAAACATTTAGAATTGAATGGTATATTTGGATTTAGGCTTTATATATCAAACAATTTAAAACTTAATTTTTTTTGGGTCTTTTTTAATTCAAATTGATTTGGGTTTTTTCGAATTCGACCAAAATAAACCGAACCAATCCAAATGAATACGGTTTTAATTACGTCACCTATCCGAATCTGAATCAAATATTTTAAATTCAAAACCAAATTGATCCGAACTCTTTGGTTCAAATTGATTTTTTTATATTTTTATATTTTTTTCTTAACTCTAGTTAGTACATGGCTGACTAGACATGTTGCAGATGTTTAGTTGATTTAAATAATTTTCACTAAAATGACCATTGTGCCCCATTTGCATTTAATTATGAGAGAGAAAATTAGGCAATAAAATAAATTTCATCAAAGAGAGATTATGTTGAATTAAAATATAGCTTAAAAAAATTTTATGATTAAATTTACCTAATTCTATTATAAAAAAGTCAAATCAAAAGATTGTTTTATATGAAAAATTATAATTTTTAGAAACGTAAATAATGGCCTTTCTTTGTATAAAAAGTTTAACTATTCAAATGAATAAATATATCTGTAATTTTTTAAAAATGCATGATTCTATTTTAAAAAGATTCAAATCAGAATACTATTTTATATGAAAAATTATAATTTTCAGAAATGTTAATAGTAATTTCTCTTTATATGAAAAGTTTAACTATTCAAATAAACAAATATGTACATAATTTTTTAAAAAAGACATATTTCTAACTAAAAGAAAGTAACTTTTTATTGAAACAATGAAATCAAAGAGTCACAACCTTAAGTTAAAGATTGATATGGGTTCATTTGAAATATAATTCAATTTTAATTTACATCTTTCCTTCTTTCAACTTTTTCTTAGAGAGCTAGTTGTTTTAGTATCGTTTGTTGCAGAAAATCTTTTGTTAAAGATAAAGTACTTTTGTTTTTCAGTAAGGGATGTTTAGTGGTTTGGTTTTTTAATGCAAAATAAACTAAACATAGGTTTCATTGTATCTTGAAAGTTATTTGATTCAATCTCTCTTACATACCATAATTGATAAAGGTGAAATAAGTCTTAAGGAAAATAGTGATTGTAGTATGCCTTGAAGCCATTTTTGTTCTTAATTAAAAGTTTCATAATGCTACAAGAAGATTAATAAAAAACTACAAAAAATTACATCAAATTTGTATTGTTTGATGATCTTAGCCTTGTGATTTTTTTCTAACTGATAAGTTGGTTAAATGGTAAGAAAAAGTAAGGATCAAATCCCTTGAGATCGAGAGCAAGAGACAAAGACTAGCTTTGAAGTTCTTGAGGTAACTTCAAGGCAACGAATTGGAGATGTACCAACAACCCTACCCTAGAGTCCATATATATATATATATTGACTAACACATCAACCATAGCAGCTCAGCATTACCGGCATAATGGAAAACCCTGTCTGCTTTAGGAATTAACATCACAAGTTGCTCTTTTCATCAAATTACCAACATATCCAAACACTCTGTCTTCCGATTAATCCCAATCATATACATGATCAAGAAAGAAAATAGCTGCCTAATTTTCTTTTACACGTTTTTTTAAAAATAAATATAGAAATTAAAGGACTAAAATAACATTATCACAAAAGCCTAGGTAATTACCCATCAGCTGGTCATACTTCCAAGTCGAAAAATAAAACAAAGAATGTGAGATTTGGACGGAATTTGCGTGGTTGGCATTAAGGAAGACGTAGTAAATTAGTTTCGGAAGTATAGGTGTTTTGGTAAAGCAAAGAAATTAGGAAACATCCAACAGCTACAAGTCTTTTCTGTTGCTTTCAGTAAACTACCGGCCGGAAATTTGCACTTCCACTTCTCCTAATCCAAGGAATTGTGAAAATTGATTGCCACCAACCGCTTGGAAATTATTAACTTCAAAAAGAGGAAACAGAGGAGGAGAGCACACTCAAATTTACGCACAAGGCAAAGAGAGGGGAGAATATGGCCAAGAAGCAGCTGGTGATGCTGGTTACTGCAGCATGGGGTATCAGGAGCAGCTTCCAATCTCTTGTTGCCCTTCTCATTGCCATTCTAGTCATAGCCTCGATTTATCTGAGACAAAACAATGAACAAGTCTTCGAGTATGGGACTACACATAAAAGTTCCGGTGGCTTGTCGTCAAGGTGCAATTTGTTCTCAGGGAAGTGGGTATATGATAATAAATCTTATCCTTTATATAAAGAGAGAGAATGCACGTTTATGTCTGATCAGTTAGCTTGTGAGAAGTTTGGGAGAATGGACCTTAATTATCAGTTTTGGAGATGGCAACCTCACCAATGTGACCTCCCTAGGTCTCCTCTTTTTTTGTCTATATATGTATATCTTCTCTTTCGTTTTCCAGACGATATATACGCATATACTAGTATTCATATATATATATATATATATATATATATATATATCTCCATATATAAGAATTACCCATATAAAAATTAACAAAAGGGATGATGATGGTTTTAAGATTGCATTTTTGAAATGTTTTTAAGTTTTGTGGAATGTTTCCTTGTTTTATGTTAATAAGGTTCAATGCCACAGCATTGCTGGAGAGGCTTAGGAATAAGAGGCTTGTTTTCGTTGGAGACTCGCTCAACAGAAACCAATGGGTTTCGATGGTCTGCCTGGTGGATTCAGCCATCCCTCTAGCCTTCAAATCCATGGATAACAACGGTTCAATAAACATTTTCAAGGCCACTGTGAGTCTTTAATATTTCCAAAACATTGCAGTTGTTGTTTCGTAGGAAATTTGAATGCTCTATATCTATATGCCAATCAGGGATTTTATTTTGGCTATGGCTTTTTCCACAGCATTTTGTGATCTTTGCCACAGTGGCTAAATTTTACTACTGATTAATGTTATTAAGGAATATAATGCGACAATCGAATTTTACTGGTCTCCATTGCTGGTGGAATCCAACTCTGATGATCCAGTGAACCATCGCGTACCAGACCGGGTTGTTAGAGTTCAGGCAATTGAGAAGCATGCTGGGCATTGGACAGATGCCGACATTCTTATTTTCAACACCTATCTTTGGTGGAGGAGACGCCAAATGAAGGTTTTGTAAGTACATTTCCGAACCTATATATAATTAATCAAAACCGGCGGAGACTCGGCATTGACTTTGTAGTCCAAGTTTTAATTTGATATGGCTCTAATATCAGGTGGGGATCTTTTGAAAGCCCGGATGATGGGATATATAAAGCAGTAAAGCTGCCAAGAGTGTACGAGATGGCCCTACAGACATGGGCACAATGGCTGGAGGTTCATGTCAATAGAAACAAGACCCAGTTATTCTTTATGAGCATGTCACCAACTCACCAAAAGTATAAACCTTACTAAAATCTAATCTCTTCCCTATATATGGATTTATATTAATGAATTTAGTGATCAGATTACAAATTATTATTTATACCAAACCTGTCATGTAAAAACTTTCAGGGCCGACAAATGGGGTGGGATCAAAGGTGAAAATTGTTACAGTGAAACGCAACCGGTTATCAAAGAAGGATATGTGGGAGATGGAGCGAGTCCAAGGATGATGCGTGTAGTCGACAGCGTGCTTGGCGAATTGAAAACAAGAGGCTTGAACGTCCAGATGATTAACATCACACAGCTATCAGATTACAGGAAAGAAGCTCATCCATCAATTTACAGGAAACATTGGGAAACAATAGCAGAAGAACAATTATCGAACCCCCAGAATTATTCAGATTGTATTCATTGGTGCCTCCCTGGAGTGCCTGATGTGTGGAACCAGCTGCTCTATACCTATATTCTTCAACTTTGACAAATCACATTACCAAATAAAATGTTTCTGAAATTAGGAAAGCTTCATAGAACTGTTGATTGAATGAACATTAGAGCTCACAACATTTCATAGAGGATGGTTTTCCCTTTTATTTGTAAAAAATTGCAAATGGAGCTTAAATTACAGTCATTGAGTGCATATGTCACGGACCTAAAGGGGAGTTCTGAATCCCACATCGAACATAATAGGAGGGTTACTGGGGTATAAAAGGGTTCACACCATCTCCGCCTTGTGAGGCGCCTTTTGTAGGACAAAATCGTGAGGCCAAGGGGGCCAGAGCGGACAATACCTCATAAGGGTGTGAACCGTGGCGGTCAGGCTGATCTGAGATGCCGAAAGGGTGAATGCCCGGGTCCCGGAGCCGCGCGGGTTCGGAGCTTGAGTCTCGACCCGTGACAAGTGGTATCAAAACCAGCCCTAAATCGTTCGGTCCACGCCGAGTACCTCGAGGGAGGTAGGCAGGGTGGCCAGCCTCCGTGACGAGGGTGTCACGAGGTTGGGTGCGGGAAAATGTCACAGACCTAAGGGAGAGTCCTGAATTCCACATCGAACATAATAGGAGGGTCACTGGGGTATAAAAGGGTTCACACCATCTCCGCCTTGTGAGACGTCTTTTGTAGGACAAAACCGTGAGGCCAGAGGGTCAGAGCGGACAATACCTCACAAGGGTATGAACCGTGACGGTCAGGCTGATCTGGGATGCCGGAAGGGTGAATGCCCGGACCCAGAGTCACGCGGGTTCGGAGCTTGAGTCTCGACCCGTGACACATACACATTATAATAAATCCATCCTTTTAGTTGACTTAATTCTCCATAAAAATTACTTTATTAAATATTTTAAAAAATTAAATAATCATGTAATTTTCATAAAAAGTAATTCAATTCTAAATTATAAAAAATTATACTTGTACCTAACTACCACTTGGTACAAATGTTTTTATTAGCCTAACAACTTCGCATAGATTAATATTACTCAAAAATAAACTAATATTTTTATTTTTATATTACTAAGAATTTAGTTTTAAAATAATTTTTAATTGAAAAAAGCTATATAATAGGATTCGCTCAGATTACAACTAATCTTTCACATAACCGCCAATAATTAGGGTTGGCGTTGTAGGTGAACATATATGGAAAGGTCAGAGAAACAAAGATACAATACTCCCGTATGAACCCAACCACCCACTAATCACCGATCAAACTATCAATACAGCAACAATCTGCAAGAATAATCAGCCTTAATTACAGCTGGCTTGATCTGCTTATTAAGTACTTATGACCTTCCATGGACTTTTATTAATTGACAAACCCGTTGTTCTTACATTAAAATCTTTCCGAATCGAGTTATTATTACTTGTTATGCCTTATAGAAGTAACAGTTATTCTAGAAGCTCAAGGTTCTTGCTTCTGCAAAATCCTCTGGTTCTGCTCATTCACCATGTCCATGACGCCTAGATGGAGCAGAAAGAAACCCCATTTCCCTTTGCTTGCAGTTCTTCTCCTGGTTTTTATAGCTTGTTCAATTCTCTACAATGAATTCAGCATTCAACAAATCCATGAAAGCCCCGATCATGTTACTCGAAGCAGTCAACAAACTCCATTTACTTATGTAAAACCAAATCTTCCAAAAGGAGCTTCAGGTGTGCTATTCCATCTTCAATCTCTACTGTCTTTTTTTTTTTTCTTTTTGAGCAGCTCTTCTTGGTCAAAGTTCATTCTTTGAATTTCAACCAGAAAAAAAGTTATTTTTATTTTAAAGATTTTGGCATGTTAGTATAACTGGGATTTGGATGTTTATGTGTGGGTTTTTAGAGGTTTTGGATAGATTCAGTAGTTGCAACTCTACTAGGAGCTACAGTGGGAAGAAAATTCGGTGGGTTGACCCAGATGCAGAATCGGGTCGGCGGAGGAGTATAAGCCAGGAGAGCTGTGATATTTTCTCTGGAAAATGGGTGTTTGATAACGAATCGTATCCGCTTTACAAAGAGTCCGACTGTCCATATATGTCGGACCAGTTGGCATGTCATAAGCATGGAAGGTCTGATTTGCAATATCAGTACTGGAGATGGCAGCCTCATAACTGCAATTTGAAGAGGTAATATCCTGTTTCTTTGTGTCGTTTTTGTCAGATGTCGAGACCCAAGTCTTAGATTTGCTTTTTCTAGCTCTTAGTGTTAGTAGCTTTGCAGATAAATTTGAATAAAAGGAGATCTAGCTAATTCAAGAGAAATTGTTGATCTGTCCCGATTGAAATGCAATGAATTAGATATTTAGATGTATTGCAACGAATGCCATGTGAGGAATGGAATGTGATTCTTCTGAGTGGTGAAACTGTCAGTTAACATTTTGGCCATTGATGATAGAAATTTCCTTTAATTGAAACTGATTTTTTTAAATCTATTCTATGGTGTGTAGATGGAATGTGACTGAAATGTGGGAGAAGTTGAGAGGGAAGAGGCTAATGTTTGTGGGGGATTCTCTGAATAGAGGTCAATGGATATCAATGGTGTGTTTGTTACAGTCGGTGATCCCAGCAAATAAGAGATCCATGACTCCTAATGCTCAGCTTACCATTTTCAGGGCAGAGGTAAGCCAGGAAACTTCCTCCAAGAGGTTTTAATATAAAAATAAGAAATTTGCATATGATACTTTGGTGATTAAATTTTTATTCAAGTTTGTATGTGCATTATTCTTTGTGAGGGCATGCCCAGAGACAAAATAAAACTTCATGAAACATTATAAGCAGGTGATAGATAGTGGAAATCTTATATCACAGTACATCATTGCCTGAGCTACTCTTGTGTCATTTGCAGGAATATAATGCCACAGTGGAATTTCTTTGGGCTCCACTTCTGGTTGAATCTAATTCTGATGACCCAGTGAATCACAGATTGGCTGAACGAACTATCCGTCCAGATTCAGTACTCAAGCATTCATCACAGTGGGAGCATGCAGATATACTAGTTTTTAACTCATACTTGTGGTGGAGACAAGGCCCAGTTAAGCTGTTGTATGTATAATAGCTGAAAGATTCTAATTTAGGAAAGATAAATATATTTGAAGATTTATTGATTTCCTAGTATACTCGCAACTTTTGCAGATGGAGTGCTGAGGAAAATGGAGCCTGTGAGGAACTCGATGGACTAGGAGCAATGGAGTTGGCCATGGGAGCTTGGGCAGATTGGCTAGCATCGAAAGTCATTCCCCTGAAGAAACGTGTCTTTTTTGTTACTATGTCACCAACACATTTATGGTGAGGTCTTTACACCTAAACTGAATTATTCTATACTTTTCATTATCTGGAGGCATTTGAGGCAGAGATGATGAATTCATAAGACGGATAGTGCATCGAGAGTCAGTAAAAGGACTATTGTCAGTATCTAGAGCTTTTGGCTGTAGCATGGAGCATGTAAAAGATAGAGGTTCATGATATTTCCGTTGTCAAGAATCAAATTTAGTATGCTCTTGCTGGGGTTTGAGATCCTAGCTGATTTGAAAATATTGAAGCATGTAGAACCAACAAATTAATAAATTGAATGAGCTGCTTATTTTCTTATTTAGATTTTACTTGCATGAAAATCATTGTTGGCCATGAATCCATTATACAATCTTAGTGCACCATCTGTGGTCTTCAATGCCATGGAGTTGACTTGATGCTCTGCATCCAATTACTTCACTTTTAAGTTTAAAAATGGAGGCCCTATGTAATTGTCATGGGCCTTGTGGCTAATTATTATTACCAAAACTGCAAGGCGGCATCTACAAGAGTATGGTGCTCCTATCGGTACCTTGGCATTCAACCCCCAATTATTTATTACAGTTTATTTTAGTGTCTCATTGGACTAATGATTGCCAAGCTCTTAGAGAGTGAAAAGGTTGATGCTTCCATTGCTTAAGGCTTTTGAATCCTTTCATTGTAAGTTGAGGGATCTTTTAAGAATTTTTGGCCTATATTTACTAACATTTTACCATTAATCAGGAGTCGAGAGTGGGAACCTGGAAGTGAAGGAAACTGCTATAATCAGAAGACACCTATCAATGAGGAGAGCTACTGGGGAAGTGGCTCTGACTTGCCTACCATGCGCATGGTGGATAAAGTGCTTTCCCATTTGAGTTCAAAGGTATCTGTTATCAATATTACTCAGCTCTCAGAATATCGAAAAGATGGCCACCCTTCCATCCATAGAAAATTTTGGGAGACACTGAGCCCCCAGCAATTGGCAAACCCTGCAAGCTACTCTGATTGCATACACTGGTGCTTACCGGGCGTGCCTGATGTGTGGAATGAATTAGTATTCCATTTTTTGTAAAAATAAATGAATAATTGAAATTCTTTTAGTGGCTTTACATAAGCAATAGGAAAAAGAAAGTTTAATTGTGAATTCTTTGCCATTTCTGGAATGGGAATGACAACTGTGTCCGCTCTTGGATGGTTGAGTGAAATGATTGCTTATAACAACAGAAATTGTATTTCTTTTTTTGTTTGTCTAGAACTTGAATGCCAGAGGGCATGAAGACTTTTACATATCTTAATACGTCTGACCATGTACAAGGTGATTCTCTAGATTCATCGGAGATGATGGCAAATTTGACTTTGGCTATTTTCTTCTGGAAGCAACTTGTGTAATACCTTTCTGATGCCTATTGTTGCATTGCCTACCCTTGTGCTTTTGGGTCTGGGGATAAAGAATGAGAAACAATTCTAGGTGACACATGCCTCCATGATACAAAAATTCTAAGTGACACATGCTTCCATGATACAAAAGCTTAGCTTTATGTTTTTCGGCCTTCTCCATATTTGATTCCCTGAGCTGGTAATGTCCAGTTGCACGATCAATAGTTCATTCAACGAAAATTTTAAGTGTTCAAAGCAAACGAATGAAATGAGGCTAGGGGCAGCCCAACTGAAATATCTTTTATACCTTGGATTGGGTGTTGGCCCAGACAAGGCTCTATATCCAACTTTTCCTTTTGGGTTTTTGGTACAGAAAAAAAAAAAAGCTCAAATCATAAAATCACGCTGATTTCTCTGTGAAATATATTTGGCTGTTGAAACATAATGTTAGGGGCGATCAGTAACATGAGCGTCTGATCAAAGCCACACCAAGCAAATAGCAGTGAACATGTAACAGATTAAAAATTTTTAAGGAGAGGGAAAGCATGTGGAATGATCTGCCAAAGAAAAAGAAACCCAAGAATAAACATGTAGTAACAAACATATATATCCAATATTTTCGATTAAAATTACCTGTATCTTTTTCATCAAGGAAAAAAGCACTAAATATATTTGATTGTATCTGTGTTTGCTACTATTTGAGTATTTCTTTTATACCAAAAAAAAAAGAAAAGACAAAAGATAAAACTAGTTTAAACTAGTTTATCCTAAATGATTCCACCTCAAACCAGTTGTTCACCCATAAAAGCTCCTCTTTGAACCTATAGCTTCCTTCTCAAACATGACGAGTCAAGGAATTTGAAACGGAGAGGGAAAGCATCAAGTTGATATCATGGCATTCATGGTACTGCCCTACTGACAGGAAGGTATCGGATGCTGGAACAATACTCCCATGATTATTGCAGGTACAATAATCTTGATCTTTTGATTGACCATCCGCAATCACTCGGCAGCTCGAGTGAATCAAAGAGCCCGCCATTGTTGCCAGTGTTGACGCTGGTTTCTGCGACAAAATCTTCTAGCAGAAAAAAAAAAATAAGTTAATGGTTATACGGAAGTGCAGTAACTTTTTTTAGCTTTGGACAAACAAAAACAATTCAAAATAAAGACCTCTGAAAATAAGCTTAAGTACATTTACTGACCTTCCTGTAAATGGTTCCATCCTCCTCCACATGCCAACCAGCCTCTTCACAAAGAGCTTTCAACAGATCATTGGTATCGGCATGCTTAGGAAGCTGGTAATTCCCATGCTCCTTGAGCCCCGCAAAGATTTTCTGAGCCACCGCTCGCCGCCTGCGCTCCCTTTGCTTATTCTTTTGGCGCTCCTTCTCAGTCGGAAAGCGGTACCTGGTGACTATTCCACCATCTTTGGTGGTTCTATGAACTATCCATGGTCCCTTGTCCTTCTTGATGCATCCTCTCAATGTAGTTTTCTTCTCACCCGTCATATCTTTTTCTTCCCTCTCTGCTCAAACTCTGATCGCTCTCTTTTGGTTTCCTTTGGAGTTTTGTCTGTTTGCTGTCTTAGGCTTCTTCGCTTTAATGACTATAATTTAAATGCAAAATAATGCACCAGAGGAGTCAGAACAGACCAAAATAACCGAGGGGTACGCTTTTGTACTTGGCTGTACCATCAGCTCCAGACACCATAATGACATGGAACATTCTTGAACCAAGTTGCTATTGTGAGACAACGTTGCCAGAAATTTGGGATAAGCCCTAATTTGTTATTACTAACAATAAGTATAAACCCTCAGATCAGTTCGGATTAACTCCCATCTAGCTTGGTTTTGTCTTCAAAAGTCGTTGATCCTCCATGCAAAAGTAGTGCTTTTTTTTTCTTCTCTTTTTTGTCCTTTTAACAAAATTATCCACGTCTGCACCCGAAAAAGAAGAAATGTTTAGTTGCAGGAACTGTAATAAAAGTGTGAGACTAAAAGGAAGAAATTGCAGAGGGAAAGGACAGGAGAGTAATTAACCACCCTACATTTGCTGTAGAAGATCTCCATCAACAGCCGTTGATTTTAGCTGTTGTTTTAGGCAAAATAAAACAGAGAGCTTTGATCAATGGTTTTGGTGAAGAGCTCACATTTTTGTGATAAAGATGTCTACTTTGCAACAGTTTCTAAGTATACAAAGTATAGCAATGTGGGAATCAAGTACGATATAGTATGGAATAAAAGTACAGAACCCCCGCAGCCACCGGAATCCGGAAACGAGAAACTACAGAATTACTATTACAATATTTTAACAATTAGATTATAATCCATGTATAAAATAATTTTATTTATTTAATATGAATATATATAAATTAATTTTTTTAATTATATTCAAAATTTTAAAATTTATAACATATATAAATTTATATATATTAACTTGTTATTAAAAAATAAATTTTTTGAAAATAGCAAAAAAAATTATATCTTTCCTTTAAGTATTTTTATTTACAATAATATTTATACATCTGTAAAATTATATCAAATAAAATTAAATTATATCTTTTTTTTAAAATAAATATATATATTTGAATGATAAATTAAATAATAAAAGAAGTATTAACGTACTTTTATTTTAGTATTTTAATTAAATTATTATATCAAATATGAAAAATATGTGAAAATATGTGAAAAAAGAAAAAAAAAATTGAAAAAAAAATATATTTTTCATAAGAATGAAATTGTAATAACAATAAAATATATCTTAGAAAAAATTTATAAACAAAAAAAAAAATAAATTGCAATAGTAATAGAATATACCTTAAAAAAAGTTACTGAAAAAATAAAAAAATTGATGCATAACACATTACATTTGTAGTCTTAAATTTGTAGAAAAATTTTTTAATGACAATTATGATCAAATAGATCATTTTTAAAATTTAAAATATATATAATAAGTGATAAAGATAATATTAAATTTTTTGCACTTATTTGAAATATAAATTTGATAATTAGAGTTCAAATGAATATAATCATTTTGATAATCTTATTATTTGAAGATTTAAAATGAAAATTTTTTGAATTTTCAAAATCTTACATAAAATTGCTTGAATTTTTAATGTCTTACATAAATTTTTAAAAAGATAATTTTTTAAGTCAAAATTTAAAATCAAGATAAAACATATTGTTGAAATATTTGGATAATATTAATCTTTGTAATTTTTAAACATGTTTGAAAGATTTTGATAATTAAATTTTTTAAATAAGTTTATTTGGTAAACAATTAAAATTATTTATTAAAAAAAGAAAATCCATATTTCATATTTTTAATTTTAGAATATATATCTCTAAATTGATTTGATTTTCAATTATAATTTGAAAATTTTGATATTTGAATAAATTTAAAATTATTTAATTTGTAATTAAAAGAAACTATCTTATTCTTTTTAAAAACTATCCTATGTGTTATTTAAGAGAGTTATCCACATAAATACCTATGTAGCAAATTTATTTATGCATATTGTTATATAATACATATATTAAATTCCTTCAGCTAAAAATAGGCTTAAAGTAGCAGTTTATGTGGAAGACATATATAGGCCACTAAAAGATTAAATAGACCGAAATTTATTTAGCAATTTTCATATATTTTGACAATAAAAACTTAGGCAACCAAACTATTAAACTATTAGGAGATGTCATTGATTTGCGAACAAAACTAGTAGAACCTAGCATATTATGTAAGAATGAAGATTAATAGAGAGAAGACTTATATACACCAACTAAGTGATAAGCTTAAGCTTATCCTATTTATCAAAGTTTAAAAGTTCAATCCTAATTTGAAGTAACATTTAAATTATAGCTAATAAATTTGAAAAACAACTATAGTTCAAGTTTTGATCAATCAAAGTTTTGATTGTTTGAGCTTTGGCGGAAACCAACTTCTCATCCCATGCTTGTTGTTTTATTGTCATTACATCCTGCTGCTCATGTCAACTTGCCTTGATATGCTATCGTAAAACTATGAAGCCATCAGCCACACTAGTCATAGATCTTAAAAAGTAACCTTTGTTTTGATAAAGGTTTTATAAGTCCATTTGCTAATTGATCTGTGGTAGAAACATAAGATACTTTAAATGCACCTAAATGAACATGTTCTCAAACAAAATGGTAATCTAAGACAAGATGATTCATTTTGGAGGGAAAAACATGATTCGGAATTAAGTAGCATCAATATTGTCATACAAGATTTGGGGTTGTTAACTTGGTTAAAAATGAATATCTGTCAGTAAATTTTTTAGCCAAAGAATTTTCGTAGCGACTATAGCTTGATATTCAATCTTTGTGGAAGAAACAAGCTATTGTTTTCTATTTTGTTGATTTCCAGGAGACCAGATCGCCACCAAGAAACAAAATATAAGCTATTGTTAAGGTTCTATTATCATCCAAGTTTCCTGCTCAATCAGCACCACTAAAAATAGTATTGAAGAGGTGAATTTATTTTTAAAAAAATACCATCATGAAGAGTGCCTTTCAAATATCAAAGTATTATTTTTAGACAACTCTGATGGTACTGAGTAGGAAAGTGCATATACTAAGACCTTTTATAGAAGGCATAAGCTATATCAAGTCTTGTAAGAGTAAGATTATGGCGGTATTATATGTTTTTACCTGAAGGTCTCATGATTTTTCTCACAAAAAATATCTTATAAGTATGAGTTCAGATCTCTACATATACAACATAGTAGATCCTCACAATTTTTTAATATAGGATTGAGGTGTCAAAAACTCCTCTGTTAAAACTTGACATTTTCGTCAAATCCAATACAAAGTACATATAAAACCATAGAACTAAAATCACATAAAATATTAGGATTCTAGAGGTGGCTTTCATGATATAACACATAGCTCTTATCCAACTAGTAACTATTCTGATACCATTTGTGGAGACCCATACCTAACTTGTAATGTATTATCCGTTTGGACCCGAAGGTCTTACGATTTTATCTTATAAATGACATCTCACAAGTATGGATTTAAATTTATACTTATATATCATAATAAATCCTCATAACATCTTGATGTGAAATTAGAATGTCACAAACTCTCACTTTAAAACTTGACGTCCTATCAAAAC